CAGTGATGATGGGAGTCTATACTCATTTTAAGTGAATTCAAACAATTATTTAAATATATTTTATTGATTTTTTTACAGAGAGGAAGGGAGAGAGATAGAGAGGTAGAAACGTCGATGAGAGAGAAACATCGACCAGCTACCTCTTGCACACCCCCTACCGGGGATGTGCCCGCAACCAATGTACATGCCCTTGACCGGAATCGAACCTGGGACCTTTCAGTCCGTAGGCCGATGCTCTACCACTGAGTCAAACCGGCTTCGGCCAAACAATTTTTTGTTTAATATTCACTCCAGGATATTTTTCCATTGATTTTTAGAGAGAGTGGAAGGGAGAGGGAACAACTGAGAGAAACATTGATGTGAGATACAGATATGAATAGATTGCCTCCTGCATGTACACTGTCCAGAGCCCTGGTCATGGAAGAGTCTGGGACTGGAGTACCTGCTCATGACCAAAATCGAACCTTACACCTTTCAGTTCTCAGGCCGAGGCTCTATCCATTGAGTCAAATCGGCCAGGGCCTAAATACTTTTTATTTCCTAATAGTCTTTTAAATGTATGCCCTTTTTAAATATCCCTCTTTTTGTGGGTGATTTTTTTTATAGCAAAATTGCCTTAAGGCCAATTAGTTATAGAGCAAAAATATTGGCAGCAAAAGTGCTTGCAGCAAGTTGTCTATGAAAAATACCAGGCACATTATTTCTTGACAGCTTGGGAAGAGACAGAGGAAAGGTTCAAACCTGGGCCCTCTGACCCCACAGCTGCAGGCTGTGGAGTTAGAGGATCTCAGTGTCCACACCTCTCAGGACCGGCCACTGCCCTCCAGCCTCAGAGCTCCCCTGGCCTCTTGCTCTGACCCGAGTCTGACTCAGCTGTTCTGGGAGACCAGGCTCCATGCTCAGCAGCTCCAGCTCCAATCCTGCCCCAGGGAACAGGCTGTCTCTCACCGGGCTCCCTGCTCCACCTCACCCTCTTCCTGGCACACACCCAGGAAGTTTCTAGCTCCAGGGCTCTGGACAGTGTACATTCAGGCTGGTGCCAAGCCTGCTGCTAGCCTCCCCGAAGGAGCTGGCTTGCTTTGTGAAAGACAAAGGTTCCCCACATCCCCATTCACTTTGGATTCTGAAAGCATTGTCAGCTGACATGGTGGCCACGGAGTGGGCAGGAGGGTGTCTGGGGTCCCAGTACTATGTTTTTCTGAGGAGATATAAGATTTTTATTTTTTTAAAATTATTTATTAAAATTATAATCCATTTTAAAAAATATATTTTATTGACTTTTTTTATAGACAGGAAAGGAGAGAGATAGAGAGCTAGAAACGTCGATGACCAACTGCCTCTTGCACACCCCCTAACAGGGATGTGCCCGCAACCAATGTACACGCCCTTTGACCGGAATTGAACCTGGGATCTTTCAGTCCACAGACCAACGCTCTACCACTGAGCCAAACCAGTTTCGGTGGGATTTTTTTTTTTTTTAAGCCCTCTTATTCTGTCTGCCCTTCCCGTCACTTGGAAATTGGATGCTAACCTCACATTAGCACCATGGACAACACCACAGAGAGGAAAGCTTTTCAGAGTTGGTTATCAAGGACAGTATTAGAACAGTACTCACTAGTTATTTTTTATTCTAATACTTTATTTTTTTTTAAATATACTTTAATTGATTTTTCACAGAGGGGAAGAGAGAGGGATAGAGAGTTAGAAACATCGATGAGAGAGAATCATCGATCAGCTGCCTCTTGCACACCCCTACTGGAGATGTGCCCGCAACCAAGGTACATGCCCTTGACCGGAATCGAACCCGGGACCTTTCAGTCCGCAGGCCTGCGCTCTATCCACTGAGCCAAACTGATCCCGGCCTAATACTTTATTTGTAATTTAAAGTAAATTATAAATAGTCACACCAGAAAAAATACTGAATTGTATTTCCAACCTCTCTACAGAAAATAATGCTTCAAAACCTTTGTCATATTAAGAGGTAATTAGAATATATAAGAAAAGAAAAAAAAACTTTGGTGTATATCAATCTGTTAATAATAAAGATAATAGTGATTTTTTTCTACATTTTTAATGTTGGTTGTATTTGTTAACCCTTTAAAATATATGACTTGTGGTGATTAATGGTTCTAAGTAAACATTCCATTTTGTGTTCACAATTTTATATTCTTTTTCTTAAGTCATATGAAATTTAAATTGTAAAAATTTCAGGTTCAACAAAATCTGGATGGAATCTTCTGGGTGTAATAAAAATTTGATGTGTAGTAAACAAGTCATCTATAACAATTCAAATTTAGAGTTTTGCTGTCACTCATAGAAGACCTGAGATATCAGATAATCAAGAGATTTGATAGACTGAGATGAATAAAAATAAGGCCAAAGTCCTAGAACTACCTGTTTTGAAGGTGGCATATCAGTCACGGACAAGCAAAAGATGCTGAGAAGAGAAGCTTTAGGGAATAAGACTGCCTTTCTATTACCTGAGATGTGCCTTATCTGCTGGGAGATTTGGATTGAGAAAGATTGAGGAAAATGGGGTCTGGGGAAGTTCTCAGAGGCACATCAAAGATTTCTTATTGAACTGGACTCTCTATGCCATATCTTAGTACCTGAGACATCACTACTGGCCACCATGAGCACAAAGCAGATAAAGATGGGTGTAATAAGCCACGTGAAGTGAACTGAGTTGATGAATATTATTCAAAGAAAGAGCAATTATTGTGAGTTTGTTTAGCAAGGGCCATCAGGTAAGATTGTCTAGGTATTACTCTTTCTCTACAAAAAGCAATGGGATAAAATATCCTTAGGTGAGAAGTAACAAAGATTAAGACAAAGAAGGTGAAAGGGGGAGATTGTGCCTAATGAAAGCTCAAGAGTTTATGGATCGTGAGAGAGATATTTCATCTGAGAATGAAATGAAACCCAGAAGAGAGGCTGAACAGTACCATGAGCAATGTGTTGCCACTTCAAGACTTCTGGGAGTTAGGTTGGAGGAAGGCTAAGGAAAGAAGCATTCCAGTTAGTAAGGTTGGAGTTGAGGAAGACACTGTGGCAGTGGACATGGTGAGAGATGTCACGATTGATGCCTGAGGTAGCTCTTGTGGACAAAGACGCTATTTCCTTTGTTTTGATGTACCAGGTTCTGTTTTACTTTTATCTTTGTTGTTGAAAGTATTATAGATATGGCCCTTTTCCCCTTAGTAACCCTTCTTCCCGCTTTCCTAAATCTGCCTTGGTATGTTTCTAGGAATAGTGTCTTCTGAGTAGGGTGTCTGCTAAGTGGTTCTCTGCACTTGCTAAGTTGATGATCAATCAGAGCCTCTGGAGTTGTCATTCTGATATCTTGGCAAGAACACAAAGAAGCTGAGAATGGTGGATGAACTCAATCACTACAAACAAACATTCCTGGAGTGAAGGGGAGATATGAGCCGGACTGATTTTCAGATGTGATATGAAGCTGCAAGTGCTATACATCTCCTATTGCTGCCTCTGAAAATGTGGATTGCATTTATTCTGTGTCTGTTTCAGCATGTAGGCTTGGCATGCATGAGCAATTTTGTCCCATTAGTGGACACATTGAAAAAAAACTGCAAATGAGGAGTTATACTCAGTTCACTTTGTAACCCAGGTCCTGGTTTAAATGGTGAAATCCTGAACTCTGTCTTGAGCTTGTTGCTGTTATTGTATTACTCTTGGGAATTCCTTAAAGAATGGTCAGAGTTTGGGGTATGTGGGAAGCGTGAACGTCTCTGGAGCCTGATGGTGGGACAGTACTAGTCTAGGATGTCTGGTCATGAATCTCAAGGCAAAATAGTCATGCCCTGGTGTAGTCTTTTCCATATGATTATGGCCTTCTCCCTGACTCACCTTTGAACAATAGGATCTGATGGAAGTGAAGCTGCATGACTTCTAGAGCTAGGTTCCATTGTACCTTCTGCTTGAGCCTTTTCTTTCATTTTTCTTTTTTAAAATATATTTTATTGATTTTTTTACAGAGAGGAAGAGAGAGGGATAGAGAGTTAGAAACATCGATGAGAGAGAATCGATCAGCTGCCTCTTGCACACCCCCTATTGGGGATGTGCCCGAAACCAAGGTACATGCCCTTGACCGGAATTGAACCTGGGACCTTTTAGTCCACAAACCAACACTCTATCCACTGAGCCAAACCTGTCTTGGCTATTTGAGCTTTTTCAAGGGTTCTCTGTGGCAGAAGCCAGTCACCATTCATTAAATCCCAAACCCCTGAGACCTCTGTGGTTTGAAGAGGTCTAAGATAACTATGAAGGTCATGTGAAGAGAGAAATAACCAGTCAGCCCCCAGCTGTTTTAGCCACCCCAAGTGAAGTGTCAGATATGAGGACAGCATCTATCAGAAAATTTTACTTCCCACCACAATTTGATTAAGGCCGTATGAAACACTACCCATATGAGTGCAGTAAGCCTGCAAAACGGAGAGAGATAATAATAAATTATTGAAATTATTGTTTTAAACCAATATATTTTGGGGTGGTTTGTTAAGACTTTTCACCTGATTTTCCTCAAAGTACAGTTTCTTTTTCAAATCACCAATTATAGGATGATGTGGGCAGACTGACACCTAAAGTCTTAGGTTAGCTATCGGAATTTGGGGAATGATTTGGCTTCAGAGTTTCTAACATGTCCTAAGCACTACATCATAAGAATATGGTTCCAATGTCTTCCCAGATATTTTATGAGCCTGTCACTCACTCCTTGCATCAGAGAAATGTTTATCCTCTTTGATACCCAGATCTCTCCCACAATACTCTCACACCTCTCTTGGTGATAACCACATACTCTTGATTTTTTCTCTCTTTTTCCCCTCTAAAGCAAGAAGCAACTCTTGTTATGTTTTCGGGAGTTTTAATGACCAAGTGTTGGGGAAGGGGGAGAACCCATGTTGTTAGTGAGCTCTGGGAGTCACAGAGTCACTTAGGTGAAGGGATCCTCTTGACAACGGGGTGTCTGGTCACATCCTTCTCTAAGCGACAGTCACTGAGGTCAGGGACACCTCTCTCCACACCTGTATCATCTTCACAGTTCCTGGCTCAAGGCGATGGGGAAATTTGTAATATTCACGACCATTTACTGAAACCTGAAAGAGAATATGAGTCAGAAATACAGCATGCCACCAAACAAACTTATGGTCTTCCTATCCTTTTCTACCCTACACACACACCATCCACCAGAAACGCCTAGTCACACTCTGAAACCCAAAAGGCATGCTTCTTTTTATAGCCTACCTTTTGTGATGATTTCAGACAGTTATTCACGCTATTTTTTGTGTTTCTCATTCTTCCACTCAGGTGTTAGCACTCTATGTTGCACTGTCTATGCTTGCCTGGGCTTCCCTCTGGCCAGGAACTGTTTCATGAATCCTGATTCTGGGTCTTGCACAGAGTTCCCTAGGCTAATTGGTCATTAAGTGTTTATTGAGATAATTCATTTTAGCTCTGCTAAACTTTACTGCCATTTACTCCTGATGACCCAGTAGCTCAGATTTTTGCCTCCTCATGCGCCCCTTTGTGGCTGGGGATTGAACCTGCAACCCAGATACATGCCCTTGACTGAGAACCCAACCTGAGAACCTCCAGTCTGGAGGCCAATGCTCTAACCACTGAGCCAAAACTTGAATATTCCTAAAAAGGAGGAATAGTACATATGATTAAAATGAGGATATTTTTATTCATCTTATAAACAAATGGAACAATGCCTCACTTCAGTCATAGGACATTAAATATTTGTGCTTCTCCCATGACAAAAGGTTTAAACAGACACTTTTTGGGGGTGGCTAGGGTGAAAAAGTGGGCTGTTTAGGTCTTAATTTTTAAAATTTAAAATGCATACCTTTTTAAAAAAATATTTTATTGATTTTTCACAGAAAGGAAGAGAGAGGGATAGAGAGCTAGAAACATCAATGAAAGAGAATCATCGATTAGTGCCTCTTGCACACCCCCCTACTGGGGATGTGCCCGCAACCAAGTACACCCCTTGCCCGGAATCAAACCTGGGACCTTTCAGTCCGCAGGCCGATGCTCTGTCCACTGAGCCAAAAACGGTCCCGTAAATGCATACCTTTTTTGAACCAGATATTCAGTTCCTCTGAAATTATACTTCCTTGTAAGAATAGGAAGGTGATAATGACAAAAATGTGATACAAAGGGAAGCATCATCCATGAGATCAAAATATGGAAACCACCCAAATGTGAATGTATAAGGGCCAAGTTAAATTATTCTGAAAATGCTTCTATTGAAATATTATGCAAACGTTAAATAATGTGGGGGTATCACAAATAGCAAGATGTTAGTTTCTGTAACAAATATTCTTTGGCAACAAATGAAATATAGTCACCAATATGTGATTTCTAGAGAAACTTATAACATTATTTGTTTAAAAATAAAAGCAGACAGAGATAAATAATAGGTAGATAAGATACATAGAGTTGAACAAGCATATAGTATCTCTGGAAGGAGCATAAAGGAATTAGTAAGTGTTGCTCTGGAGAGAGGGACTGGGTTTTGGAATGTAGGAAGACTTAATTTTAAACTGATTACAATCATTTATATGCATATTTGAACAATATCCTACATGAAGACTGAAGGAATGACAGCATGGGGGAAATGATGGCAATGAGGGAAGACAGGAACTTCTCCACCATGGAGAGTAAGGCATGTGTGCTGATCGTGACCTGCTTGGATTTGCAAAAGGACCTGAGCATGGCAGTACACGCAGAGGGTGCTCTGTGATGAGAGGGGCAGGAGATGAACCACAGGTGGCTCTGGGGGCCAGGCCAGGCTCTCCTGTGAGAGCCCTGAGAGCCTGTGCAGTGGATGTTCCTGTGCACACTCACCTGGTACGCATCTGACTGCACCAAGATGGTCAGGTCGAAGGGTTGTTCATCCTCAAATGGGGGCACAGCATTCAATTTCACTTCTTCACCCCATTTCCCACCCTGACGGGTGTTCATCACCACTCGGCGGCCATAGAACACGCGGAAATGGAAGGCGATGTCTGAGATATTTTCATTTCCAGTGTGGAAATCCACCTGCATTTGTGAGTCCATACTGAAGGCAAAGCACAGCATGTTGAGTAAGGACCCTTCCTCATGGCGGCCCACATTTCACACACAGACACACACTTCCCAACTCCTCCTGGGGAAGGAAGACCTTCCTGGGTGACACTGCAGTACGTGCCCCTGTGGGGTGCTTCAGCTTGTCCTGCCCAGGCTGGGGAGATGCCTCATTTCTTAGCCGAGGGCTCACACTGAGCAGCAGTCACTGGCCTGGGTCTACTTTTCATGCCCTGGAAACACCGTGTCACTTGGTAATAAACCTCCGCTCCAATGCCTAAGTGTCCCCAGCCCCCAGACTTCAACATTTACCCACAGTCGTGCACCTGTAGATTTAATGCCTGGCACCATATGGGTCTGCAGAACTTGTATCTGCATTGTGCTTCCATTATGCTAACTACAAACTTAAACCTCAGTCATTCATGAAGTGGTTCCCAAAGCTCTAATAATCTCACTTCTCTTCCCCATGGGCTATAGATACCCACCTGAAAGGCATGGCAGGTGTCCCTTTGATTTTCACGAAAGAACCAACAGGTAAGCGTGCATGTTTTGTATATGGGATCTGCCAGGAAAGACAAGAGTGGTTGAGAGGGGTAAAGCCAGGGGTGGTCGCCCATCCTATAACAGTGCCCAGTGGCAAAGCAGGTTATACATCAAAGGGCATACTCTGAGGACCCTCTTTTTCCCAACTCACCACAGGCAGGTCCTTGTATCTTTGAAGAAATGAGAAGGTTGAAGTTAACAGCAAGAGTTCAAAAACCAGGTGACCTGGATTCTAATGCTGATTCTGCCTCTTACTACCAATGAGAACTGAGTTTTGCTACTTGACTGCTCCCTGCCTCCATTTTCTCAGTACAAGAAGGATTATAAAAATTCCTATTTTATAGGATGTTCTCGGTAATAGTTGAGCTAATAGATGTAAAACCTTTAGCATGATCACTGGTAGGTATCGGGTCCATACAGGGGTGTCTTAGCAGAAGGGAAGGGCCCTTTCTAGGGTACTACCCTCCCATCAATTTTATCTGAAACTCTGAAGATAAGGCTTTAGAATGTAAAAATATAAAATATAAGAATTCACTCTAATATAAGATAGTTGTCTAAAGACAGAGGGAAATAATGGAAAAGGAGACTCCTGTGTATAGGATATATATGCATCAGAATTTTCAAGGGCAATGGTGCCTTTTCAGGAATGTGTACAAGTTGCTGAGGACAGTTAGTACCTGCACACAGGGTGGGAGACAGGAGACTAGTTAAGTAGAATCTACAGGTTGTTCCCTGATATTGACTAAGCTTTGTCTGGATTGAGGCTGATTTTGTTCCTTCCATCTTCAGGTGATCCATTCTCTGAAACCATTTCTCCCAACAACCTTCCCCAGAGAGCCAGGATCTGGTTTAAAAGACCTTCCCCCCTGCCCCCCCTTTTTTTTTGTTAGGACAAAGGAAAGACTGGCTGGGGAGGAGTCCTGAGGCAGGAGCAGAGGTCACTGTGTGCTGATCTAGACAGGAAATCCTGTGCCCCACCGTCTGAGTTCAACTTCTGTTCTCATTAATGCTCAGAGATGAGTTCTTGGAAACCCACTCTCCCCAAGACCTCCAGTTCTGCCCACCAGAAGCCACAATGATACACATGGAAAGAACCACAGCTCACAAGCAGATACAGGTACACACATATTCATAGTTCACATAGTCATAATTCATCATACACACAGTTATACAAATACATGGAACTCACTGACTCACACATACCTCCCTAAACTACTACTCAAGATGACATACACAGCTGTTCTACCACTGCCCCAGCTGTACTTAAACACACATACTCAGAAGCATGAAGAAAAATGTGCACTCTCACCCCTTTTACCCATGCACATACTGCCTCTTCCCAGTCAGCTGTTCACTTCCCACACAAAGTCACAGTGCCTCAATAGAGTTCACCATCAGTCAGATACCACCAAATGCTGACAGTAGATACACTAGCCCATTCTCTTTTTTCCATATATTTACAACCTCCACTAATACATTCCAAATAATTTCATCTTAGGAAATCTCAGACAATTTTCTCCTTCCCTTAAGGGACCTGGGATCACTAAAGGCTGTGCCTTTTCAACTCACCGGTAGCAATGACATTGTTGTGCCTTCTGCTAGGAAGCTCTTCCAAATTGTGTGTAGTTGTGTGTGTGATCTCTGCAAGCAGCAGGTTATAAATGATTTCTGGAAGCCCCGCCCTCTGGGCCCCTTTCACTTGCTAAATCTCTTCTAGAAAGATTTCCAGCAGATGAGAAGGTGTGGGCTATCATAAATAGAATCAATTACAGCTATGTCCTTGAAATGGATGTATTGTGGTGCAATAGAAACTTCATTGAGGAAGTTGTGGTTGATAAAGGGTTAGCAGGAAAACATTCATGATTACGTATGATGAAATGAGTGGGTGAGTGGGTCTACAATCCAGCCTACATGCCTCTCACCAAGTATTTATTCCTCTGAGCAGAACCCACCCAAAAGGTACACATGTTTCTACCTTGAACAATGGCAAAGAATTGATAGTCCTGGAGGTAAGGCCTCCCTTCCAGAGGTCCTGGGAGATCATGGAAATTGATCCTTAGCAGACCTGTAGATGGAGATAATGAAGTCTTTGTGTCATGTCCTTTCCAGAATATGTCCCTTGGATCTTAATGCCAACAGTGTTTTAGCCTTTTTGTTACATTTTCTTAGTCAACTTCCAACATATATCAATCAAGATTGGACATTTAAGATGATAAATTCTTTGTAATAAGAACACTTGAATAAGTATGATTTAGTCATGATGACCTGCTGAATAAATTATAGCATATCCAATTAATGACACATTTTAGGGTCATTAAAAAAAGTTAAATAAAACAATAAAAAACAAGGTAAGTCATAAAGTTTTTCAACATTAAGTTTTCCAAGTGGAATCTAATGAACAAAATAAACTGATGAACAAAATAGAAACAGAGGCATGGATACATGGAACAGACTAACATTTACCAGAAGGAGGAGATGAAAAAGGGGGAAGGGGTTAGCCAAACAACATGTATGCATAACCCATAGACACAGACAACGTGTGGTGATGGTGACAGGAAAAGGTGGCTAGGGGCTGGTTTTAGGTGGACAAATGTATGGGGGAGGGGGAAAATGTGGACATCTGTGTCAACAGATGTGAACAATAAAAGTAAAATAAAAAATTTTTAATTGAAAGATTCCTTCTTGCCAAAGGGAACTCATGGAATATTGACACCATGGGAGCAAGCCCAAGCGAGCCTGCTGGAGAGGCCAGCTGGAGAACTAACGCTCCTTGATCAACTGTCAGACATGTGAGTGAGGCCATCAGGGACTGTCCAACCCTAAAGAAGTCACCAGCTTACTACACCCGCACGAGAGAGCAGACAAAACCTATACAAGAACCGTTCAATTGATCCCAGCCCAAATTGTCAACCCACAAAATCATGATCTCTCAGATTCATCACTATTTCTAGCAACTAGACAACAGCAATGGATAAGTTATGTAATTCTGTAATATTTACAGATGAATTTACTGATGTTGAGGGTTTTGCTTCAAAAGAAGCCAGGGGTGCTCTAGCCCAGTGGCTCAGTTGGACAAAGCATGGTCCTGTACACTGGAAAAAAAGTTGCAGATTTGGTCTGATCCCAGTCTGAGTACATACCTGGGTTTTGGGTTGGATCACCATTCGGGGCACATACGTGAGCAACCAATCCCCCCCCCCTCTCTCATTCTCTCTCTCTCTTTCCTTTTCCATCTCCCTTCCCCTCTCTCTAAAAAAACAATATCCACATTCTTGGATGATAATTTACAAAAAGAAGCTAAAGGTGAGGTGAGTAGAGGTATGCATGCACAAGATGGGTTATAAGATGATAACTGTTAAAGCTGATGAGTACATGGGGGCTTACTGTACTATTATCTCTACATTTGATGATGTTTGAAATGGAAATTTACCATGACAAATAATTAAAGGAAAAGAAGCTAGGGAATGGAGATAGGGAAAAAGGAAGGAATGAAGGAAAATCACTCTTCGAGTAGAAAGAAAGTGAGTTCTGCAATGTAGCACAGCCAAATCATAGACAGATTTATTACTGAACAGACACCTGACTCCTGGGCCAGGCCCTCTCCATCCTCCAACAAGGCCAGGGGCAGGAAATTTTCACAGGAGAAGCAGGCCAGATAGGAATATTTTCTTTATTACTTGAGAAAATCCTCATGGCAGGTAGGTCTAAGTCATTAGTAATGCTGAGACCTTTGATGAAAAATTACATTTATTTGTTGGGATGTATTTTTTTAAATCTAGTTTGGGGGAAGAGACATTTGTCAGAATGAGACAGAATAATAAGAAGCTAGGAAACTTTTTTGGCAAGTAGAATGGGGAAACTGAGACAGACAACTGAACAAACTAGCTGAGCAATTTACTGCCAGTTACAGAGGTCGCCTCCTTAGAGATAATATCTAGGCCTCTCTTGTATTTGAGCTCCAGGCTCAGAAAAGCAGCAAACACTGTGGGCCACACAAGGCCCAGCTGCCATGACTTGTGCCAACCAATCAGTGGAGGCCATGATTCTGAAAGGAATCACATGGAAAACTCAGGAATATTCTATTGAGATCTCCCCTAAGACCTGCCCTAAACTTCCAGCCTTTAAAAACCCTCAAAACAAAGGACCCAGCATGAGCCCTCTCCTTCCTGGGAGCACATCCATGTCTTGCCCTTTCCTCTCTCCTTCCCCCAGAGTGTGCATCACCAAAACTCTAAGGGACCCCCTAAAGCTGTCTTCAGACCCACCTTTCTCTGACTTTCCAGTTAGCTAACAGCAGCCCCACCTTGCACATTTCTTCCTCATAATGTTTCTAGTGACCACAGGCAGCCCCACCTTGGCTCTCCTATTGCTTCACCTATCCTAAACCCTTCCTTTATTTCACCATCCACAACTTTCAGAAACAGTCTCACAATCACCTTGTTCTGTGAAATCTTTCCTACATGCAACCAAGAACTCACAACATTACGGGTGGGCCCTATGTTTTTATTCATCCAGGCCCGGTCACTGTGCAGTGACAAAAGAGTCCACTCAGGACCAGAAAACCTATGGAAGCACATTCTCCCCTTGAGGTTGGATTGTTTTCAGATCCAGCACAGCCACAGGAACTGGCTGATGGTAGTTGTTCAACTTGCTATTTTCCTGCTTGTTTCTTCCATTAGACTCCTTGTTGGGCCATGATACGGTAGAACCCAAGTTCCTGAGCCCTTTGTCCTGCCCACACCTGCAATCACCCACCTGTGATCACACAGATTCTTTCTCTGAAACCTAACTTCTCTTCTGGAAAATGAAGTACAGGTACATAAATTCAGGAATTTTTGAAGGCTTTATCAGATTTGGTCCAAATGACCAAAAGCACAAGTGAACCTGAGAATTTCATACTTTTCACTATTGTAGTAAGAAGGATTCATTTACAATGTTGAAAAACCAGTCTCCAAATACTAAAAACCTCCAGACTTAAATCTGGAAATAAGAAGGGAAACCTTTCATTACTTGCCCAAGTCCCCTTCCACTCTGACTTGGGGATGATTGAGGACTGAGCTACCTATCACAGTGTAGCTGTGGTTTGTAATTGGGTATGGATTTGGATTGCATATGAAGAGGAATTTGAAACTCTTGTATCAGGTATTACCACCTGATGCACATTTCATATCCCATGTATCAGGCCTGCACTAAGACTCATGCCTGCTTACATTCAATGTGCTCAAAGCAGCCTGGAGCAGGAACTTCAGACAACCAAGTGTGGGTCCTGACTGGTATGAGGTGACTGGGTACTTAATAAATAGTTTAAATTCATTGGCATTGTCAGGGATGCCCCACAACTACCACTAAAGCCTCCCCTTTCCCTTCTCAAAAGGACATTTAGAACACACACACACACACACACACACACACACACACACACACATACACACACACACACACATATGCACATACACACACAATTTATCACCATTTATGCCATGAACTATGGATCATGGCCTCATCCACCAGGTGTCAGTCCAAAGAGCACTACCTAGGGGTACTCACTCACTCACTTACTCACTCACTCCTGAGATTATGTCAAGTCTCTTGGTTACCAACAACCTTTGGGTCCCTTTATATACATTTTTAAAAAGAGTTCAACCCTTATCCCTTTAATGTCTGTCTCTGGCCCTAAACTAAACTGTTTGCCTTGTTGGCAGCTCTGCACTCTGCGTCCAGCACAGGGCCCTGCCAGCGCAGCTGCTTTGTTTATTGCCATCAGCAGCAGCCATATCCAGGAAGGAAGTGGAGGTGAACCGGATCCAATTGGATAGTGAAGGATCTGGAAGACCAAATACCTAGGAATAAACTGATACAAGCCGGCAAGCTCTTCACACTGGCAAAATCCAAACATTGCTGAAATATATTAAAGAATATACAAATAAATTCAACCTCTACCATGGTCCTGGATTGGATGTCTCGATATTCTTAAGATGTAAGTTCTCCTTAAATGTAAGATTTTTTTTTTTTTTAATTTTCTTTTTCTGTCTGCCTTGGATACAGGATTCCAACCTCACATCAGCACCATGGACAACACCACAGAGAGGAAAGCTTTGCAGACTTGGGTATCAAGGACAGTATTAGAACAGAACTGGCTCGTGTTTACTTTTTTTTTTTTTAATTTGAATAAATTGTGAAGAGCCAAACCAGAGGAAATATTCAATTGTCTTTCCATTTTTCTCTGGTTTTGATGTTGTCCCACTTGATCATTACAGAATAACAAAACTCTCCAAAATATATTGATTTAAAACAATAATTTATTATTACCTATCTCTGTTTTGTACGTTTACTGCATTCATATGGGTAGTGTATCATGTGGCTTTAATCAAATTAATAATAAATTTGATCCTCCCTGGTCTAAAATGTTGACAATTCATTATTAAACATGCCCCACATAAACTGGAAAATTTTTGCAATTGTTTAAATAACAGAAAAATCATTGAGGCAAATCTTTTTGGTTCTTCAAATAGTCCTTGGATTACAATTTTGTAAGTGCACCCTGGCTGGGTGACCTAGTTAGTTGGAACATTGACCTGTACACC